ACATGCTCTCCTTCACCATCTGCATAATCGTTGGGAACGTCGGTATCGTCCGCCAACGAAGTCGGTGGAGATACGAGCGTAGCTGTGGGCTTAGAAGCAAGAGCAGAGTTGGCCTCGTTTGTTACCACGGTGTCGGACTGAAAGGCAGGCGGTGATGCGTATGAGGTCTGCCCGAGCTGGGCCTCCTTGTCCGTTGGCGCTTGTTGTGGAGAATCTTGATCCTCGTGAGGGAGGTCGGTATATGGGTCATGTAGGTCCAGATCCTTAGAAGCATGGCCGACATGGTCATGTACATCCAGCATAGCGTGGTCTCTGTTACCAAGATGGAGCGGCCGAGACACAGGAGAAGTGCTTTCTTGCTTCATCCGTTTGCTGACACCGGAGCCGATTCCTTCCTCATTGGGACGTGGCCGTTTCACAGAAGCCGCGGCTCGTGGCTTTGCTCGTTCTTGAGCTTTGATGGGATCAATTCTTCCATACTCATCATGGATACACCGGCGCTATGGTCAGTTAGCAAATGTATATCACGAGATGCAGAACGGCGTAACGAACCTTGCTCTTCCGACAGTCGTCACAGGCCTTGCTCCGGCCTTTCTTTCCGGTATTCTGCCCTTCGGGGCTGAGTTCGTTAAGCCTGTTGGTTGATGGATGCGGGGTGCCCACGGTGATCAATGACGCTTCGAAGCGATCCATATTCCTACTAACACCATTGTCCTGGAGACCTGCTTCCGATGCAATGGCCGCCAATGAGTTCAGAGCAGACGCTGCATCATGCGCCGGCGAATGGACCCCGGTACCGAAAGCACCCATGGCTGTCTGTTTGGATGCTTGGCTATCATTCTGTTCGTCCTTGTGATGGCAGCGGATTCTGCGTTTGCGACAAGCATCACATGCAACCCGTTTGGGACCGAGCCCCGAGCCCCGAAGTGCTGTTCGAGGCTTAGGCGCGGGCTCCTCTTTGATACCTGCGTTGGCGCTGGAAAGGCTCGTGGGAATATGAGAATCCGTGATTGAAGGCACATTGTAACTGGAGCTGCTCTTGTTGCTCGATTGAATCGCCAGATCCTTGGGTGGCTCCGGGAGTCGCTGCACAGCCTGTCGCTCTGCATAAGTACGTTGGCTGTCCACGTTGCGCTCTGAGCGACGACTAGGTCTTCCAGCTGGCTTTTTCTCGACAAGGCTGAGTTTTGGGTTGCTCTCGATCACGCCGGGGCGAGTCCACTGAGGTGCTTTCTCGTTTCCACGCTTCCATGCAACCCATATCCCAAACTGCTTAACAACGTCGACTGGATCGCCTGGCGTCTTCGGTATTGATCGTTTGACTGCATTCCTAGCATCCATCGTTACCCCTTCCACGAGGTAGGACCCAGCGATCAAGGCGGTACGCAGAAGGTATTTTGCAAGGTCTGGCAGGCCTTCCAACTCTGCTTGTGAATAGAAGCGTGAATTATGATAAGGAGAGCCCAGCGGGGCAGTGTTCGTCCTGTCTCCAAATTCATAGTATATGGGATAGTCTCGATGAAAGCGATAATTGTCGTCCTGTGCAAATGCGTCGAGAACACCGTGGGGAACCGGGTCTTCCTCGAGGTACTTCAACGCAGTATACCACTGAATTTTCTGGAAGAAAGGATACCGGAACTTCCTCGGCACCTTTGTGTCCTTCTCAATGTTTGCAATCTTGATCTGCATCCCATAGTTCAGCCTCGTCAGAAAATTACCACCAATGACCAGGCTATTCTCCGGAGTCCAAACAGCATGGATCCAGCCGGAGGGAATCAACATTGTGTCGCCTTCAACAAGGTCCACGCGGTAGCATTCCTTGGTTTGGTCACCGAGAAAGGTGGTATCCTGTGCGGGCGAATTGCACCATTCCTCATATTTCTTCAAATGCTTGTCCGTTGGCGGGATGAAGAAAAAAGTCTTCTTGCCTTTCAAAATATGATAGTAGACGGACGACCCGCCAAAATCAATATGAAAGTCGGTGTAACAGTCGGCCACAGACATCAAGCAGTAGAACTGTACTTTTGGGTAGTCTCCCACTGCTTGAAGTTCACGGGGCCAGACTGAATCTTGCAGATCCAGATCACGAACCACTTTTGGTCGTCGGATGAGCCTGCCCAATGGACTCTGTGAGACCTCTAAGCTGATGACATTTCGCACTACTTTGTCACCAGTGCTCTCATAGTAATCAGCCCATTTTTGCATGGTCCATCTCTTGTCCTCTCCTTGTTGAGATTTGACATCGATGACTTCGACCCTCTCTTCGGGTCCGTAGAGCTCGGCCACTTGTCTAACCGTCAAGCCTTGTGGTATCACCATGTCCAGTTGATCCTGGCCGCAGTCTACCACTTGCTCAAGGCTTTGCTCGCCCGCATCGAGATGATCTAGGAGTTCATCAAACATCTCTTGCGTGGGCGCTTCCTGCGCTAGAGCGTCCAAGTCCGGAGGTAGCGTCGGGGCCGAGTTGCGAGTATTCCACTCGGCAGGGATGACTATCGGTTCTGTCATGCCACTGCCTCTTTCGAAGTACTCGGCCGTGATGAGCTCCGGGCGCATGCGGGGGAAATTCTCAGGGAGGAACCGGATCTTGCCTTGGCGAATAGGTTCAATGTAATGATGTTCTAGTGAGTCTGTTGCAGCTTTGACAAGCCCTTGGTTCAGACCAGCGTAGTCGATTGCGGTACGGGCGCGAGATGACTTGCGAACAAATGTCGTCCGTCCATGCAAGGGTCCACAGGCGCGGCAAATGAACTTATCCACAGTCCGCACCTCTCTATCATTTTTGAACCCAGCGCAGACGATATGAAACCAGCGCTTGCAGCCGTCGCAACTAATCCACGTCACATCACCCTGCTCTCCGGTGTCTATTGGTATGCGGACGAGATTACAAGCAGCACAGCTAGCCTGACCTGACTCCTCCGACTCCGTATCGTCTTCCGTCTTGGGAGGCAGGTCCGTCGGCATCGGTCCTGCATGGGTACCGCGCATAACATCGGCAGCCTGAAGATTGAATTGTGTGCCACTGAAGATGTATTTGTTTGCTGAACCCCAGTGATCATCCTCCGCAACTACTTCATCCTGCCAGAGTATCGGGGGAAGAGTTGAAGAACTGGTGTTAGGTCGCAAGCCTTGTATTGTTGGTCGCGCAATGGCTGCTGATCCATCGGACTGTGACCTCATTCGAGATGGTGGAAGAGCGCTATTGCTTGAAATGGTGTGGGTAGAGATTTCGGTGTGAGCGGCCCATGATCCCACTGCGGACCCAATCCTATCAAAACGCTGTGTTTCACTTCCGGTGTAAAGAGCGTGCTCATCTATGCTGACTCGTTTGGCGGGCTGAATGGTAGGCTGGAAGTTGGGTCGGGCAAAGTTCAATAGAAGCTCTGCATCCGTCTTCATGCTATCAAGCACCGCAGAAGAATTTGCATCGTGCACGGGCAGCGACCGGTGGGAATGGAACGGCGATTGATCTTTTTCTGAGCGCGGTCGCTTGGCGGGACGTTCGGAGGATTCAATGGTTTCGGGAGGGAAAAGCGACAATGCGGGTGTCGAGTTTTGAGAAGGGGGGCGGTAGGAGAGAGGTGCGAAGGTAGGGCTGGTGGCTAGAGCGATGGTCGCGAGAGCGTCGATGGTCGAACTCGATCTGCCATGACTCGGTCGGTGAGTAGCGGAATGATCTGCAGCATGATAGCCGGCATGGTTCGGGGGGTGTTGGTCACGATCGGAGGCAGCCACCCTGGCGATGCTGCGGTCAATCCATGAGGCTCGGATGTCGGAGGTTGAGCAGGGTGAAATCGGCTCGACGGCGCGTCGCGGAGGTGAGGGAGTGCGGTAACGCGGTGGTCGAGTCCCGAGATGGGTAGAAAAGGATGTTGCACTAATCATAATGAGGCCTGAAGATAGAAAATCGAGCGGGAAAGGAGCGAGAAGAGGCCCGGAGGAGAGAAAAGGTGCTTGCGGCAGACGGGTGCGAAGCGGGGATATTTGACCACACGGGCTAAAGACGGGCCACCGCAGGCAAAGAGAAAGTCATTCCTGGCAGAATGGGATTCGCACGAGGAATAATGAGATGAATATAGAAGTCCGAATAGGAAGGTTGGTGGGGGAGAAGTGGTGGGGGGAGACGGGGGAGAGAGGAAGTCGACAGAGCAGAGTCGCACGGCGGAGGTTGAGGGGGGGAAGTTGAGCGAGCCTCTGCCGACGGGCGGGAGAGAGAGAGAGAGAGCGCGCGCGCGCAAGAAAGCAGACAACGGAAGAAAGCTGCACTACAGTAGGGTGCGGAGCGGAGATAGAAAACGGCAAATTTAAGAAATAGAAGATAAAGGAAAATTAGCGATTGAAGAGTTGCGCCTCAAGATAAGGCCGGAGAAGGAGGAGGAAGGAGGAGGGGTTTGGCAAGGGACGATGGGCGGCGATGGAGGCCGAGAGGAGAGGAGAGGAGAGGGGAGGAGGAGGAGGAGGGAGTCGCCGGACGGAGGAGGGCGACAAGGCGCCCGGCGTAGAGACACACAGAGGGAGAGAGAGAGAGAGAGAGAGAGAAAGAGAATCCTCTGCTATCTGCCTCAGGCAGTCATCCTACCTAAAAAAGTATTGCTGTTGTAACTTACTCCTTCCTAGTAAATCGTTTACGGCACCAGAATACGACTATAGAGTACTTTAGCACCATTCCAAAAGGTCATATCCTAACTCTGAAGCTAAATAAAGATTCTATTGCATCTTTTCTATTGTTATGAGAGCTGTAGGAAGTCAACTGTCATCAAACTCCCATTAAAAGTGAGGCTCCTCCTCCGAGGCGACTAATCCCGATCAGGCAAGGCAGCCCAGTCTCTCCCGAACCTCGTGCTCGTCGCGGATATTGCTTCCCTCTCTCTTGTTCCTCTCTTGCCTTCTTCTCCTCTCTTCCTTCTCATATAGCTTCCTCCAGACCCCCGTTGGGTATCTGACTCGACCTTGATTCCTTCTTTCACGTCTTTCTACAGCATCTACTGTCCCACCCGAGAATGAGCCGAAAGCTCGCCCCCGAAGCCAATCGGTAGGTTCTGTTCGAACAATTCTACCCCTCCCCTTCCGGTAGCCCGCCATAGTCTCCCGCTTCGCTCTTGGGCTTCAGGGGCCTTGGGCATGCGTTCTTGTCTCTATTGGAAGGTTGGATCTGGTTCAAACTATGACTAACGGGCCTCCAGGATTCTCTTTGTCAAGAACCTCAAGTATGCCTTTCCTCGCACTCGGAATCTTTAGAACCCGCCTGTCGATCGTCGCATCGCTATTCAAACGGATACATTCCGCGACATATGATTTCGTCAATCACGACATGAATGCTAACGACTTGGGTCCTTATCTAGCTACAACGTAACAGCGGAGCAACTCTTCGACCTCTTTGGCAAATTCGGTCCCATCCGGTAGGCCTCTCCGTGACTCACGCGCCATCGTCCAAATTAGCGTCAACTCCGCAACTAACGCTGTCTCCGGCAGACAAATACGTCAGGGAATCGCAAACAACTCCAAGGGCACTGCCTTTGTCGTATACGAGGACGTTCACGACGCCAAACAGGCATGCGATAAACTCAATGGCTTCAATTTCCAGAACAGATATCTCGTTGGTATGTTTTCTCCATGCGGTGGGCACTCGGAACGGTCATCGGACGAGAAGGATTGCGCGGCTGACATTCGCTGCTCCGACTTCTAGTCCTATACCATCAGCCTGAAAAAATGCTTAAATCGAAAGAGGACCTGGCGGAAAGGCAAGAGAATTTGGAACGTCTCAAACAGCAGCATGGTATAGAATGACGTGATGATATGCTTTTTTATCGCTTTCTCCGCATGCCCTTTGCCGGCAGCTGGTTGCGTGTTCACATGGGTTGGTTGTGGGGTTTTCGGCGTTTATTGTTCACCTCTGGGTTTGATGATCGCTCTTATTCATTCATGGGTCTGAAAGGGTTGCCGGCGGGTAGATTGAATGTAACTCTGGCTTGGCTGAAGTCCGGAGTAGAAAGTGGTACAGAATGGGTTATTTCAGGCTGGGATCAATTCCGATGCACCGGTTAGTCACTGCTATCAATATAATCATTTCGATTGCCGGCCACTTGCGGCTGTTGCGGCAAACCTATGGAATGCGGCGTGCAGACGTCATTGTTATGTGTGAAGTTTGTAGCAATAATACCACTGTACTGTATCTACCTGGGACGATTGAATGGATAGAGGTTTGTGCAGCTGAGGCCCTGGGGCCCTAGGGCCCCAGAATGTTTAGTCCATGTCTCCACGATCGCCCACCGGCTGCATCATACGTTGTCAGTGGATCAGCCCGGTGAAGATCATGTAGTTGTATGCCTAGTGGTCCCTGCTCCCCCCCTGAGCGGCCTGCGTAAGGCTAGCCAACTAGTGCGATAGCTTATATTCTTGCCAGTTTCGCCTTAGCTATAGCTAGTCATAACATCCACTTGCGAGTCGTTGGTTGCGGTGACTTAGTGCAAACATAGGCAAGGATTCTATATTTTTTTCGATATGCACTATACCGAATATGCAACTTAAAGCACTAGCTCGTGCCATACACATGTATAGTACAGTACGGGAATTCGGACCTCAAACTACGTCCTAGGAGAAAGACGGTGGGTCGAATTGATGCATGCTCGGAGGCTGAAAATCTTTGGATACAGAGGTAGCCACTTGACCCAGTCTCTGAATGCTCCCAGACCATCGTGGCTGTTTGAACACCTCTTAAGGTACCTAGTAAAGTACTGTACAGTAGTTACTCGCATGAGACCCCAAGCCTCTACTATGTAAGTTAGTTAACTAACTTGGCGCCAAAAGTCCAGAACTAATGCGTGGCTGCCGCCTTGGGTGCCTGAAATCTCAGACACTGAGATTTTCCCCTTCGGTTCTAGACTCCTCCGTCCCCATTAATCTGCCGGCCCCACCGCCGCGACCGCCCTCCAAAGATTTTCTTTTCCGCAGCCCGGGAAGCCCATGAGGATTGAAACCTCATCCACCATCTTTTCCTCCCTTCACCTTCTCTCCAGCATCTCGACCTGCACCGCGGCAGTGATCCTTTGCGTGAGCCTGCTTCTTTTAAATCTCTCACGACATCTTCCGTCTTTCTTCTTATTTGATCTTCCCCATCTATCACCATGGCTGATACCTCTGCTGGTAAGAACGCTCCCAAGCCATAAGAAAAAAATTTCCATACACTGACGATAATCCAGCCTGGCCCTTGGCCGACGAGAGCCTGACTCAGAGCCTTCTGGACCTTGTCCAGCAGGCCTCCCACTACCGCCAGCTCAAGAAGGGAGCCAACGAGGGTAAGCATCTCCACGATCTCCCATCTTGAAGCATCTTCCCAATCGCGCCTACATCTTTTTCTTCAACCTTCCAACTAACCCAACCCTTCCCCCCACAACAGCCACCAAGACCCTCAACCGCGGTACCGCCGAACTGGTCATCCTCGCCGCCGACACCTCCCCGCTCGCCATCGTCATGCACATCCCCCTTCTGGCCGAGGACAAGAACTGCGTCTACGTCTTCGTCCCCAGCAAGCTCGCTCTCGGCCGTGCCTGCGGTGTCTCCCGCCCCGTCATCGCCGCCAGCATCACCACCAACGAGGCCAGTGACCTGATGGGCCAGATCCGCACCCTCAAGGACAAGGTTGAGAGACTTATGCTGTAAACTAGCGGGGCCAATCCTTTTCTTTCCCTGTTCTATGTGGTGGACTGGTGAAAATGACGAACATGCGCCATTCGGCCTTTTATGTTTGTTCCAACGGGTAATTGATTTCCATGTTTCCTCCCCCACCTCTTCGGTATGCGTGCAGGAGCTAGCTGGCTTTGCGGGTAGGCTCGGGGGGGGAACTGGCTGGGAGTGGTTGAGATGGGTGTTTTAGTGGATTGGGGGGAGATTGCGATTTGCTTCTTTTCTTTAGCAATTTTGCTCTCTAGAACCCATGGACCCCCCTCCGCTTTTACTTGGGTTTAGACAGTTTATTGGCTTAAATGTCGAATCCCACGATGTTCGCTTGGCTTGTGACAAGATGTGTTGCTTTGTTCTGGGTAGAAATTGTTTTAAAGCTGGGTTTCCAAACCGGCACGTGCGTAGACCGGTCTATCGACCAAACCATAGTCGTGCTATCAAGCCAGCCAACCCAGCAAGGCCTCGAGCTCACTACATGACCAAAAAGTCATCAGCTTACGAGGAGTACAGAGAGTATTTCTTGTTGCTATTAATGCATTTGTAATGAAACGTCCCCTCACGCACTCCTTCACTTCGATAATCGTTCTCATTCATGAATTCGCTCCCTGTCGAATGTGCTTCAATCCACATATAGATCGCGATAAGATGATGCACAGATATAAATCCCCGTGAGGAGGAAAACAAGGGATTGCAGGTATGATCCGCAACAATGAAATACGTCCACCCACCACTCTATCGCAAATCCCACCTTAATAAACACAAAATAAGAGCAGGCTCCATGGGAATCATGCGGTGCATCAATATGTACCGATACAGAAAGGAACAAAGTCACAAACCAGACAGCCTCCAAAAATACAGCCGTCATGAAAAGAACGTCAAAAACAGATCAAGGCTCATTAAGGTTACTTTTGGTGTCAATCCGGCCGGGGTATGGTACTGAGGAAAAGCAGAAATAGCAGACAAGCAATAAACATCTCGAAGTATGCAGTATGGGCCATGACTCTGACAACCATTCAATCATCATGCACAAATCAGATGCACGGAAGAAACTGGTGGAGTGTTAGCATATGATCCAAGGTTAGATCGGGGTTAGGTAAACTCACGTTCATCACAATCAGCATTGGAATGTCGAATACGTCGCGCTTCACTGTCCAGCAGTAGGCGCAGTCAACCTTGCCATCCTTGAACCCCAGCTGATTCATTCCAGCCTCGCTAGCGATTCCACCCTTACGCAGGTGATTGTTCCATCGTTGGTTGTCTTCTGATGCCAACTCCATATCCTCTTTCGTCTTGTACTTTAACAATTTGCATGTCCGCATCACACTGCCACGGGAGTCTCCGAACGCCAAGCGGGCAAAATCTTCGTAAAATTGCACCACGCTGTCATCATCCAGTAATTCGGCAAGAAAGACGGGGTGCGGCCGCCCTGGGGTTTGATTCTCGCCCGCAGACCCGCGCGGAGTGAAACTGCGGGAGGAGGCCCCTGAGCTTGGAACCGATGTGCCCCCCGTATTCACATTTAAATTTGGCTCCTTGCCCAGAAGCACATCCTTCTTCCACCCGGTCAGAATACTGAATTCCTTGCCCACCGCGGCAATCTCACCCGTCCGACGGCAGACAATCGTAGGCGTTCCGCAAGCGTTGATGAAGTCCTCGTACTCCCAAAGGGTCCGCTGAAAGCACTTCTCCATGAAAATGAGATCGTCTCTGTTTAACGTCTTTGTTGTCGCAATGAACGAGGGTCGAATTGATGCCAGCGCCTTGGCGATTTGTAAGGTCTTCTGAGGAGGGAATCTCCGTTGAATGAAGGCAGTGAGATTGTGGAAGCGACTAGTATATGCGTAGGGCTCCTTTACACTCTCGTAGATCGAGGATGGATTCCTTTGTCGCCGGCGCACTCCCACATGCAGATTCTGGTGCTTCAGACTGGGTGTCGTGATGGCAGGTCGTTGATTGGTTGGAACCAGGCCATTCGCCTTACTAGGAATAGCGGCGCTAAACGGAGACTCTTCGAAGCCGCTCGTCATTTGAGGACTAGTTGTTGCGCCAGGGCTGTTGAAATGGCCCGGGCCGCTTTCGATCGCAAACGCATGAGGCGCATCAGCTTTGGATAAGTGTCCGGGTATCACGTTCCCTTGACTAGACTGAGGGTAGACGCTGGGAACATTAACATGCGCCTGGCCCGGAGCCTGGCTGTTCGGCCATTCGTTTAATAGCGGGTCACCGAACATGAACGGCTGCTGGTTGCCGGGACTTTCCCCGAACCCCGGCCCTCCGGTGATTGGAGTCGACGCAAATTGGGCAGAGCCACTGCGACCCATAGAACCGCGCTGCGTGGCTGAATCGCTAGGCGAGTCCCCAGCACCTGTCGCCATGTGTCCCAGCATACCAAACTCCAGCGCACCGTACCGGTTTTCGAAGTTCATGCTAGAAAGATCAAAGTTGAATAAGGCGGGGTCACTGGGATCGAAGAATGGACCGGCGAACGGGTTGGGATTCTGGGTAGGCGGACCCGAAGCACTCGTGGTCGTTGGCTGTTGATTGACTGACGAAAGGCTGCTGTTTCGAACGGTAGGAGTGGCCTTCAGATTGTAGGACGGTGAGACGGGCGACTGCGATGGGAACGAGGTCTGGTTCATTGGGTTCTCTTGGTAGACATTGTAGGACGTAGATTGGGGAGTTGGATAGAAGTTGGCTCCAGAGTTCGGCGGCGCGGCCGCGTTGACGGCGTTGGCGCCGTTTCTTGACAACGGCAAACTATTATTGCGCAGGGGATTGTTGTAGAAGTTTCCACCGATACCCGGCATCAAGGCTCCGTCGGGCGCATCATGGAGGTACTTCGCCTTTTTCCGGACCCCATCCTGACATGCATCTTGCAACCCACGCTTGATACACCGCTGACAGGGTCTTTCATCACCTGTGCGCAAAAAGCTCGATTAGTTGCACGTCCTTAATCCAGCTACACATTCGCTGTTCCGCGACGTGTCACTCAGGAAGAGCGAATCAGAGCGCCTGAGCAGCTAGATACGAAGAAAAGCACGAGAATGTCCAATGCAAAAGGGGAGGAGAGAAGGAAAGCTAAAGACAAGGTCAGTCATACCGCAAGTCAAATGCGCCCGCTGGCAAGCAAAACAAGCCCTGCGCGCCTTTTTCCTCCGCGGCCTCGACGGGTCCTTTGCATTGGCTGCCTTTTGCCCAAGCGACACGACACCTTTGTCCTTCTCGTCGCCGTTCACCTCCGTCCTGGGGGTTTCCGACTGCTCATCGGCCGACCTGATGTCGTGATTGGGTCCAGTCGGCTCTACCGAAGGAGCTGGGGAGCTCTTCTCCTTGGTGTCCACGTCCATTTCGGCATGAATAGCCCGACGGAGCGGTGACTCGGTAAGTCGGTTTACGGTGAGGCCGAGTTGCGCACGTGCAGTTTCCTGTCGAAAGGAAGCCTTGCCACCTCAATGTTCGAACGTGAGCGATATAGCCGAGGATGAATCACAGCCTCAGCACCACGGTGTTTCCCCTTTCGAGTACGATCTCTCGGGCGTCCTCCAGAGAATTAATCTGGAAAGAGCAGGTATGTGGTTGTTTCGTGGTTTAGGCGCATGAAATCCAAGCACGGACGGTGTATATTCAACAAAAAGGTCGAAGTGCGAGAACAGAACGAAGAGCGGAATCGGCCGCAAAACGGAGGGTTGTAGAGGACGGACGGGCGGAGGAGAGGAGAGCTGAAGGGAACCTTGCGTGCGGCACCGAGGGTAAGATGACGAGGTGGTCCGCAATTCGATCGAGAAGGGTCAAATGCGACGAGAGTATTGAGATTGCTGTATAAGACTAAGATCCTAACGATACTTTCACAGTCACGCGAGCGACAATTCGAAGGAAGTGGGAAAGGATCGTTAATTCGTAATTGTGGTAGGGTAAGTTGAAGTGGAGAGCGAAGACTGGGCTCAATTTGTTAAGGCTGCGGGGAAAACCCAAGAACAGGCGCGCATCCAGAGTCGGTCGGGGAGGAGGTATAAGGCACCGAACCCGGGGGGAGGAGCAGGAGGAGGGGAGAGAGGGGAGAGAGGGGATTTGCAACAGCAGGGGTAAAACACTCAAGAGGGGGGGGGGGAGAAGAGCAGTAGAAGGATAAAACGCGGGGGTGAGAATGTCAGAAAACAAGAAGTGGTGAGTTAGCGACAGAAATGAGGGAATTGACAGAAAAAAGAAACAAGGGAAAAACCGACAGACACGAGGGCGTCAAGGATGCTGCGATCGAAGCATCGGTTGTTGGAGTTTCGGTACGGTTACCGTACCAGATTTAGATACCAGAACACTTCTGCATGCATGCATGCAAGCAATCGGTCTATCAGACTGTCGCGTGTCGCTCAACTCTCACCGATCTTTAGATGAAAAGGATGTTGTTGCGGTCTGTTTCGAGGATGAAGCCAGAGTAGTTGCTTGCTCAGGGGCTTGGGACTGTGAGAGCTGTCCAGCCATGTGAAAATGTGAAGATGTGCAGATGTGCAGATGTCAAGATATGAAAATGGCTGTCGCATGTGACACTCGAGGAAGACATCATCACTCTCCAACAGCAAAACTATATCTAGTACTCGAGATACGGATCTGATCTTCCGTGTTGCACCGCCACTATTCCATGATCGTCTGAAAAGAATATTCAATAGATGAGAGAGCTCGACACTTCTATAGTGTAAGGTACTAGGGTACCTAGTAGTACAGTAAGTACACTCTGAACTACATGTTACCATCCCAATCGCCCAATTGAAGCAGATATTCCTCACTGTTGACCTAACTATACAATTGTGTGAGTAATTGGAGCGTCCATCGCAGTTTCCTCGAAGTTACCGGTTTACTACCGCCTGTACCGTACGTTACCTGAGTATAAATGTCCTCCGTTCCTATGCATTCCTGTGGGCTTTAGTATCAGAAATCTCCCACGTGTAGGCCTCTAACCTCCCAGGAACCGAGAAAAGCAAACACAAGTAAAAAAGAGAAGAAAAAAAAAGAAAAGCAAGACTGCAGAGGAAACAAATGCCTCAAAGATGAACCGGCGCACCAATCATATCCTGACTGTATAAGTCTTACCCCGGGTTTTCCCGTTGGGTTGGCCCTGGTCGCCCGATTCTGCCCGATATGACTGTTGCTCTTTGCTCTGAAGCCTCAGTCAGGTACCAAATCGAGGTTGACATGGGTGCAGTGTGCCTCGGTTATTAGAAATGATGTAACTTTCTATTCTGCGCGTTGCAAAGGTAGGGGAAAGGATAGAAGTTGGTTGGGAAGTGTGGGATGTTATGGATTCGTTAAAGTATAGTTCTGACAATGTAAATATGGATGGATGGATGGAAGCCGGTGTTCACTGAGAATTAGTCCGCTGGAAGCACGGTGTGACGTGACTCTAACCTGTTCAGCTAAACCATGGAATCTCTATTTATTTCTAGAATTGATTTGTGGCGGCTGTGATCTATCAGCTAGAACCGCCAAGGTCGCCCCAGCGCCTCGGGTCGTCATCGGTCGTTAAAAAACAAGCTCTGCAATAGTAATACCAGTGATTGCTGCAGGCCGTCATTCTTGTTCCGTATGCATCATCCAAGAACTTATTGGATATTGTCTTTCATCGACCAGATCTAGCCAGCAGAGCGCTTTCCGGTAGGACGATGTCTACATCTTCAAAATTCTTGAGGATATAGTGGGGACGATCATGCAGCAAATCGGCTCTTCTTCCGAATGCGGTTGCCATAAAGATAGAATATGTACCTAATCAGAGGAAAAGAAGCATTACAGTCAGCACTCATAGCCAGATTGACTCCAGGGATAGTAAGATTGCTGCCAAAGAGAAGGAGACGTAGATGTGCTTTTAGGCGTCAGACATATCATGTTGCCGCCGCTGCAGATCTCTATGCAAGGGGGCATCGGCGGTCCGCCCAACGACATTGCAGAGTTGGCATTGAAGGCAGACAAGACGACACAGACATCACCATCAAGCACGCAACAAGGAGTACTTACGGGAATGGTGCCATAACAAGGGTCAGAAAAGCAAGAAGCGATGTTGCCCAGTGATAGCCCAGGTTATTGTACACTGGAGTCATGTGTCAGCGATCGGCGATCAGGATGCATTTCCTCCGAGGAAGGCAGATCTCAGCGTGGAATCAAACAGGCTTGGAAGTAGACGACGACACTCGGTTTGATTACGCATGAATTTACCACCCCCAGGCTTTCCGTTCGAGCTGAAACAGAGGGGGCTCACTTTGAATACCGAAAAGAGGGAAAACTCCGCCAAAGATAGAGCGCGCAAAGCTGTTCGCGGCCAGGGCACTGGCAGCATAGGTCGGATACGCGTCAACGAGAAAAGTGAAGATCCCCGAATATACGAGAATGGTCCTTATGAGCGACGAGTCAGAATTGATCAGAGGCGAAGAAGCTCCAAAAAAGACCATGTCTTAACGAGGGGCGCATGAATATTGGTACAAGCAGGAAGCTCACACAGTGCAGAAACCTACCCTGCTCCAAAGAAAGCACTGCCGATGAGTGGTACGATCCAGTGCACGTGGGGATAAATTGTCCAGGCAAATATGAATAGGCCAATGGTTACAAGGGGACCCCCGGCAATTGCTGTATTAACATTGCCATCAGAAGCTGATCAAACTTAGGGCATGGCAAACATACCTGGTGGGAGCCGCCACTCTGGCTGGAAGTCATCCAACTGCCCAGTCGCCTTCTCGTGATTTTCCTCCAAGCGGACATAGTTACGGCGCCACAATGGGTCCGTGAAAATGGCAAGGAGCATACCGACGAAGAGGCCGAGAAAGCAGAGACCGCGCTGCCACAGCTCAAAGCCATAAACGTTTTCGAAGACCAGCTGGAATGCACCAAAGAACAGATAGAGAATACCCAGCAGAATAGCTGAGAAGATGCAAAGGTTCAAACACATTGGCTCCATGGTCAGCAGGAGCAGCGGTCTGTAAGTAGACCGCAAAACTGTCTGTGCTACCGAACGTTGCAGTTTTTCAATCGGCGCCTGCCACCTCTCATCGCCTGTCTCTGTGCGCAATTTCCGGGCTTTGCGTCTGAGCAAACTGCATGACCGATATCAGGTGGCGGTCATGGGCAAGATCAAGGTACGATACAGAAAAGGCCACTTACACAGGATGATACGTTTCTGGCACAGAGGAAACAATCAGGATTAACAGAATGCCTGTCCATATCAGGAGGACATAAAATGTCCAGCGCCTTGCAGGACAGTCAGCCGAGAGTATTCGTTGGTTGAGCAGGGAAGGAAGCTAACCAACTGGTAAATTGGTTGATGAACCCACCAACACTGGAGTTGTCAGCATGCCTTGCAGCGTCATGTTATAGTGACCAATAAACCTACAGTGGACCCAGCTCGGGTCCTATGAAGGGAGAGCTGGTGTATAGCATCATTGGTGCGCTGAGCTCATGGCGGGCAAACAGGTCGCCTACAGTACCACCGGCGACACTCAAAAACGCACTGCCAGCAATGCCACCAAAGAAGCGACAGATGATCAATGTTTGGATATTTTTGGCTACTGCACAGGGTACGAGCCAGATCAAGAAGAATGAGAATGAGCAGATGTAGATATATCGTCGACCATAAAACTTCTGGGGTGTCAGTCGATTTGTCTGTATATGCGCGCTGACAGTCCAGGTCCCAGAACAGGGAGCAGAGAGTTGCACAAACCTCGGACAAAGGAGCTAGGAAAAGCGGCCCGACCGCTTCAAGGATTCTAGGTTAACATTGCCCACACTCTGGAGGGGACGGTCCTTCAAACACATCGGACTGACTTACCAAGGCCCCAGATGAAGAATGATAACCCCAGCGTTGCGACCAGCCGAGAGCAGTTGAACTCCTCTATCAGCTGGCTGTAGGTGACAGTGTACATGGACGATGTGCAGGTCCTTCAGACAGACGATCATATCAGCATTAATCAGATACATGGCCCGGGGTTGGACACTTACACGCAAAGCGAGCCTAGAGAGCAGATAATCACAATCAGCCATCTCCGCAAGGTCTTGAATTTGCGCGGGTTCATCGGGTCATGCTCGTCCCAGCCGACAATGAAAGCATCAGGGTCATCAGCAGCTAGCCCTTCCTTTCGACTTGGTATTTTCTCGACCTCGTCGTCGTCTGGCATGTTATAGCTATAGCCATCAGTCAGGGAGTAGCTACGCGAGTGCACTCGGCGCATCTGGCTCTCATGTGACGTGACGCGACCTGTGATGGGAGCATAATTCCCATCAACCTCAAATTCCGGGTTCCTGGCAGTCGCATAGTTACCGATATCTTGATGCGAACTCGCGGAGCTTCGGTCGAGATATAGACCGGACGTCTCTCGAGAGACCTCCTCTGCCTGCCCAGATTCAGACATGGTGTCGGTCTGGACTAGATGAAGGACTGTATGCGACCATGGAAACAATCAAGATTTGCGATTTAATGAGTCTCCCGAGTTTATACGATCCTTATTCTCTGTGTGTTCCTATTGCCGGATGAACTTCGTCGAGTTGAATGCCAGTTGCTGCGGAATACGGAGTATATCTACTGCGGAACCGGAAGCGATCTGCAGGCCAATTCGACGGGGACTGACAAGTATCGGAAAATTACTCTCACTAAAGCTTGTGACGGCTTGGTCAATGCGATGGGCATGGGCATAGAAAAGGAATTGAGGTGTCAGTTGCAGAAGAACGAGGGGGACGAAAAGGTGAGGAGGGATTGACCGAGAGAAAGTCGGGGAAATGGCAGCTGGTACTGAGCAGGAGACGGAATCCCCACTCCGACCAGGAAAGCGAGCCTTCAGCCGAATGAGAAGAGCTGTTCCGCGAGGTGCGAATGATGAATGCAACTGGTACTCCTAATGGCTTACATATCACGATTAACTTAAAAGAGGGCCCGGCCAAGAGCATTAGCTTATCGCGCCGATCGTTTGCAGGTTCGACGGTGTGTCTCGGTCTTTAGTACGAGTAGTCTCGCCCCTCGGCTTTGAGCAAAGACCGAGCAGCCCACTCACTCATTATTATTTTGACTTAACGTTATCGGTTGACTCCGAATTACTAACTACAAATACGTACAGTACGTACGTACGTACTCGAATGATAAAATTGATTAGTTGATTAGTTGATTAGTTGATACCAATTTCCAGATATAGTCCCTTAGGAAGCTGGCCGACATCCGCTGTCATGCTATCTAACTATCATCCAGAACTACGTAAATGCAGTGCATCCATTGTACATCACCCATTTGACCAGAATTCATTCTTACGGAAAATGGCTTCTATTACACTTCAAAAAAAACCTAGCTATCGCCCAAACACAGTCTTCGCCCCACAACCCGCAGAGCAAGATCCCGGCTCTTAAACACAATTGATTCAATAGCCGCCTTTTAGTCCCAAGGAAAGACAATACCCCCAAAACGCCAATCAATTCCACAATAGAACAATCGCCGACACACAAAGTGATCAGTCCCAAGGGCATCACAGCCCACAAATACACACACACTCTCTCTCCCTCTCTCTCGCGCTCGCCAGCACTCTCATTCACTCCTACCCCACCTGCTCACTCGAACCACAGTCAAAGATGTACATGAACACACAGAGAGAAAGTCATCTCACAATTTAGGCGGTAGCCGGCGTTACCTGCGAAGCCGCCTCTTCGCTGGCTCCCTCCTCGGCCCATGAGCCCCAGAGAGCCCGCTTGCCACGGATCTTGATAGGACCACCGACAGTGTCAGGGCGTTGTTCGACCTGAACCGCATCCTTGGTAGCAAGGACGAGGACCTCGAAGAACATCTTAGTGGCATCCGCCTTGGAGGCCTTCTTCTCGGGCAGGATTTCCTGGAACTTGACGCTCTTCTTCTGCGCCTCAGCAGATTCTCCAAGGCGTTCGCGAAGAATGTGGACAGCGTGCTTCGTGCCCAGAGAGACCGGTCCGCTATCTTGAACAATCGCATCGTCGGCTTCCTCCAGTGTGTGATCCATTCCTTCATCTTCACTCAGGTGCGGGGCGTGGTTGTCTTCCTCGTCACCTGGAAAATCGATATCCGAGCGCTGGTGGAGTGTAGAGTCCATACCCACACCCTCGTCAATTGGCAAAATTGTTTCTTCTTCGCCGAGTTCCAAAGCTGGGGCGGTAGCCGCCTCCACGTCCATGTCTGCGATTCCACTGTCACGCTTCCGCTTCAACTCCCCAGCCTTCTGAACTGTGTCGAAAGAAAGCAGGTCCCGAAGTTCAGGCGCCCAACCGCGTCCCCGGTCACCGCCGAGCACACTCGACACAAAATCACCGTTCTTTTGCATATTCATCAAAGTCAAAAGCACGGGGTCCCGGGGTAGCCACGACGAAGGCTTCATAATGTGCGCGCAGTCCTTAGCCTGTTCTTTCATTTCGTGCTGGGGGCGATCGGCTACCGAGTCCAGGCCCATGATAACGACCTTGCGACGCTTCGCCCGTTGTTCGTGCTGCGCGATTGTCTCCTCCCCAGCTTCCTCGTCTCTCTCTTCGTTCGCGGCGGCCTCCTCGTCCGAATCGAGGAGCCTATTGACTCGTTCTTCCGACATATCGGTCAGGACAGTACTTTCGCGCTCAAATCGCTCATCGGCATCAGGAACAGCTTCTTCGGCGTCGCCGAGGTCCATAGGGTCGTCCAATTGCATGAGGTTATCGTGAAAGCCGTCATCGCCAAGATCCATTCTGTCCAAGGGAGCGTCGTCTTCGCCAAGATCTAGGTCCAATTGTAAATTGTCGATATCGTTGAATTTCCCACCATCGCTGAAAAGATCCTCTTCAACGGGGCGAGGGGCGGGCGCATCTCGACCAACTTCCATACTGAAATCGTGACCCAGTGGTGTCTCATCTTCTCCCAGGTCCAGATCAACCAGCGTGTGGTCTTCGAGGCGCGCAGGCTCTTGTGAGGCCGAGCGCCGCAAGCCAGTATCAGGAAGAAGTTGGCTTCCAAAATCCATAGATCCTGGTCGCTTGCCTTCAGGTTCCAAGTTGAGCGATTGCGGGATGAGAAGAGCAGAGTCCAGGTTCATAAACAAATCGGACTCGGTGAGGACGTCCGGCAATGTGATGCCACCGGGGGCGACGACCGTGGTTGTCAAGTCATTGTTATTTGTTAGGCGGAAGGCCTACACCGTTAGGTAATTAGAAAACAAGAGACGAATCAATAAATGAAACGACAAGACATACCATCTTGATTTTAATAAGAGCCTCGTTACAATCATCCAAGAGATAGCGCGCTTTGCGGCTATAGATACGGACCACACCCAACAGCAGCTGACCACTGAGTCGCAATGCCATGGGCGCCTGTCCTTGGTCGACGATGGCGCTAACACTGCTTTCGATATCGGACTGCAGGATATGCGACTTCGAAAGCTTGCGTTCTAGGTTAGCGGACAGCCAGACGCGGGCCAGCGGCCCGGTCTTCGAAAGAAGCGTCTCCGAGTAGAACATATTGGCGCTAAAATAGTAAAGATCAAGCCAAGTTTAATGAGTAGAGGAAGCCAACGTTAGCCGAACCCTTCCAAAAAGAAGTCCGCCCGGTGCCGGGGGGGTTTGATGTGTGGTGATAAGTTCCCTGGCAACCAACGTACGATGACGCGCCGGGAGTCGAAAACAAAAGGATCAGCGAGTGGTACTCGCCCCCTACGGCGTTTTGAGGAGGTGCGGCCACACGGACCCGACAGATTTGAACCAGGTAGTGGGTAAAATGTGATTGAACAGTAGTCGCGTTGATTGCGACCTCAGCGTAAGCCCGACAACAAATAGGTTGGAGGGGAAACTGTAGGCTGAGGGGTGGTTGAGTTGAATGGAGAAAAGCAGGCGGTTGGGAGGGGGGGGTGAAGTGGGAGGATGAAAGGTGGTGGTGTGGTGGGTGTGGGATGGGATGGGATGAGAGGAAACAACCTTGAAGAGGGAGCGCGTTTCCTGAAAGGCGGAAGGGACTGATTGACTCGGGCTGATACTGGTACGGTACCTCTCCGTACTACAACATCCATTACCACTGGCAGGTAGTAAACTGAGCTGAGCTGTGGTTGCCCAGCCTCCCTCCCCTCCCCTCTTGAACCCATGTCAGCTGATTGGCGGTAAGACAAGATGGCTGGGGTCACGTGGTGTCACCCAGCTTTGTGCTTGCAAGTTATGTAAGCAGACACTCAAGCAGTTGCACTGCGGCTCGCACTAGTCCTAGTGCGGCATCCACGGATCAACGCGTCATCCGGAAACACTAGTCTGCATGGGGAAAGCGAAAAGAAAGCCTGTCCCAAAGAGGCAGCAAAAGACTCGAGCTGAGCCCGTCTTGGAGTGCGGTTGAAGGTCCGATTCAATACTCAATAATGATTTTAGCCTGTAGCTTGGTTGACTCTTTACTTTGCTCCAGGCTTCGTATTTGACCTGCTTGCATAACAATCTCACCCCCTTCTGTAAATCGTTTGCGCCTTGCACTTGATTTCTGTTATCGTGACTCTCCGACCATTACTTCTTTAAACTCAGGTCACATACTGAGTACATGACTACTAATCAGTGCCCGCAAGCCGACCCTCCCCTCGCAGCACGGCCCTGTCCTGTCCCTGTGTCCACTTGTTAGTGACCACTGCCCAGTGACCCCCCCCCAATCCTGGCTTAATCCAATTGAACTATTATCGATGCAGTTACGGCCAGCTCGCGCCTACGAGTACTAGAACGTGGCTTTCTCGCCGTGCCCGCCGTCTTGGAATTTTCCTGCGATCTGGAACATTCACCCTTTCTTCCCCTAAAAGCCACACATCCCCCTCAACCATACACTCCTTCAAGTTGAAATTTGGTTCCCGACGGGATGTTAAGAGCTGGTGCTTGATCTTCTTGGGCCTTATTTTTCTTCCCTATCTTTCGACAAAGCATGAGAGATGTCAAGGTCCGAAACGCCCTCGCTACCTCTTCATAATGCCCAGATCGATTTGAGGCCCCAATCGACGACACCTGCGGGTGCACGTTCTACTATCTCCCCCTCAGTAAGTGGACGAAAGTTTGACTTCGACGACCGTCGCATTTCATGATCCGTCTGCAGCGATTTATGTGGTTCATGGGCACGACTAATTTCAAGCGTCACGCACTGGATAGACATCCACCTCTACGTATTCGCTGCTAAGCCCACAAGAAACCGCCGAGCGATTGCAGACCTCGCTCATTCATGGACTCACTCCGGCGGAGGCAGAGGTTCGCCTCGCACGCGATGGACCGAACGAACTACCTCATGAAGACCCGGAGCCTATCTGGCTTAGGTTTTTGAAGCAATTCCGTGAGACCCTAATTCTGCTCCTTCTGGCCTCCGCGGGAGTATCCTTCGTCATGGGTAATTACGACGATGCGATTAGCATTACCCTCGCCGTCACTATCGTCGTCAGCGTCGGCTTCGTCCAGGAATACCGGTCGGAAAAGTCCTTGGAAGCCCTAAACCGTCTCGTCCCACATCATGCGCACCTGATTCGCGATATTCCTTCGAACAGTCCTCCCATCGCAAACTCGGGCGCGGCAGCCACTGTGGAGATCGAATTGCAGGAGCTTCAAAGCAAGAGCCCATCTATCTCCAACGCCGTCAAAGCGTCAACCACAGTTCCAGCAAACGAGTTGGTTCCTGGTGACTTGGTCCTGTTCACCGTCGGAGACCGCATCCCAGCCGACATTAGAATCACAGCAGCCACGGACTTGACCATTGACGAATCCAACTTGACTGGCGAAAATGAGCCAGTGGTCAAATACTCCGACGCCATTCGCAGTTCGAAGTCACTCCCGATTCAACCACCGCGATCACCGTTTTATGATGCACCTGCCAGCGGCGCGGTTGGGGCAGATATTCGTTTGAATGAGCAGCACAACATCGCTTTCATGGGAACTTTAGTACGCTCCGGATATGGACAGGGGATTGTCATCGGAACTGGTGCGCAGACCGAGTTTGGTAGCATTTCCATGTCGCTACAGGAAATTGAAAGTCCACGGACTCCGCTGCAGCTATCAATGGATCGGCTCGGCCAAGAGCTGAGCTACATCTCCTTTGGGGTCATCGCACTGATTGTTGTGATCGGCTTGATCCAGGGTCGGAAGCTTCTCGAGATGTTCACTATTGGTGTTTCGCTCGCAGTTGCTGCGATTCCAGAAGGTCTTCCGATTATTGTAACGGTAACTTTAGCTTTGGGGGTTTTGCGCATGGCCAAGAGAGGAGCTATCATGCGAAGGCTACCCAGTGTCGAGACCTTGGGATCGGTCAACGTTGTGTGTAGCGATAAGACCGGCACGCTGACTCTCAACCACATGACTGTGACTAAGATGTGGCACTTCGATTGCTCGGAGCCATTTGAGGTTCATAGCGACATCACGTCACTGACTCCAGGGCCCGCGGCTCGGACCGTGCTTCGCATTGGTAACATCGCCAATAATGCCAGATTGTCTCGTGTACATGCGAATTCTCCGGCTAGCGCATCCTCCGCTGCCGTGCTGTCCTCAACTGATGAAGGGGCTTCGGGAAGCGTTCGGAGCAGATGGGTTGGGCAGCCGACAGATGTTGCGATCCTCGATCTACTTGATATATTTGGTGAGGACGATGTTCGCGATCGAATTAGCGCTCGTGTTGCGGAGACACCTTTCAGTTCCGAGCGCAAATGGATGGGTGTCATTATCGGCAGCGGCACACCTAGCGAATCATCCTCACTTGCCGCTCCAGGGGGCACTAATATGGCCTACATCAAGGGTGCACTTGAGCAGGTCTTGGCGCGTTGCGATACCTACCTGACCAAGGACGGGCGGGAGGTGATTCTGGATGAACCTCGACGACAAGCCGTGCGGCATGCGGCCGAGCAGATGGCATCAGAAGGCTTAAGAGTCCTTGGTTTTGCTAGCGGTGTATCGAGAGACGGTAGTAAAGGAAGGACTCTTGGCAGCCGGTCGGGTACGCCTGCGTCACGCACCAGTCAAGGCGATGACGATGAGCGGTATACTGGGCTCGTCTTTGCTGGGCTGGTAGGAATGAATGATCCCCCCCGGAAGGATGTACACAAGTCTATCCGGCGATTGATGGCCGGGGGCGTGCGGATCATTATGATTACTGGAGATGCCGAGACTACTGCAGTTGCTATCGCTAAGAAACTAGGAATGCCTGTCAATGATACCCCTGGGTCCCGGCCCGTCATCAGCGGTGAGGAAATCGAGCGGATGAGCACGACCGAACTCTCCCAGGCAATTGCCTCGACTTCGATTTTCGCCCGCACGAGTCCAGACCACAAGATGAAGCTGGTTCGCGCCTTGCAGGCTCGCGGGGATGTGGTAGCCATGACTGGGGATGGTGTCAACGATGCACCGGCCCTGAAAAAGGCGGACATTGGGATCTCTATGGGCAAGTTGGGAACTGACGTCGCCAAGGAGGCGGCGGATATGATCTTGACAGACGACGACTTCTCGACCATTCTGCGGGCCATCGAGCAAGGCAAGGGCATTTTCTACAACATCCAGAATTTCATTACCTTCCAACTCAGCACCAGCGTGGCTGCCCTCAGTCTTGTTTTGCTGAGCACAACTCTGGGCTTCAAGAATCCACTGAATGCGATGCAGATCCTCTGGATTAGTAAGTAACTCTGGTTCCATGTTGTTTCTTTGCCCTTACTGATCTATTTTACCTAGACATTCTTATGGACGGTCCCCCAGCACAATCCCTGGGCGTGGAGCCGGTTGATCCCTCAATCATGAACCGCCCTCCGCGCCCGAGGTCAGCTCGGGTCTTGACGAGGCCACTCATTCAGAGAGTTCTGACCTCGGCCATGGTGATTATGCTCGGCACCTTAGCCATCTACGTGTACGAGATGGGCGATGTAGATGATGTCGGTCATCCTGGCAAGCGTGCGCGCGTGGTCACGGCTCACGATACGACGATGACTTTCACATGCTTTGTGCTGTTCGATATGTTTAACGCCCTGACCTGCCGCAGTGAGGGCAAGTCGGTCCTGCGGGGCGAGATCTCCCTATTCAGCAACAAGATGTTCAATTACGCCGTGCTGGGCTCTCTGGCTGGGCAGGCGTGTGTCATCTACCTGCCATTCTTACAGCGGGTGTTCCAGACGGAGGCCCTGAACCTGGCACACCTTTTCAAGCTGGTGTGCATCTCCAGCAGCGTCTTCTGGGTAGACGAGGCGCGGAAGTATTATATGGCATTACAGCGGCGGCGGGCCGTTGGGGTGGGATACAGCTCCAATGTCTGATAGATGCATGGGTATGAGTCGGTGGGCTAGATTTAAGTTTCTGGGTTAATAGTGTCATCGTGGCTTACATGTGTATAGAACAAATGCTACGGTTCTTGTGTATGTTACTTAATATTGATAAATAGAACAACGCAGCTTGGCTATGCGGGTTTTGCGTGCAATATCATGCCCCGGACTTGACAGCGTGTATATTGTATGGCTATCTGGGCAGGTATGATAAACCCAGGCCAGGCCATAGTATGCACGCGTCAGTGTTAGGGGGACTTGCCGGCGACGTAGCAGAACTGGCTTGGGGGAAATACCGGGTCGGGTCATGGCGCCGTTGACAAAGGAAAACAGCGCCACTGGCCTGCGCTCCTGTTGTCCGAACTTGCTCCGTCTAGCGATCATACAGGGAACTTGAGGCGAGTGGGCCCGAGTATCTCGGATACTGAGAAGAAAGATGACGTAGAAGCAAAAATAAATGACCTACGCAGGGCTCGAACCTGCAATCTCTTGATTCGTAGTCAAGCGCCTTACCATTGGGCCAGCAGGCCTTGCTGATGTTGGTTCTTATTTTAATGCTCTATACGCCTAACTTTGGCTTTGAAGTTGCCATCCGTGCACTTTTATTGTGATCATGCAATGTACTCACATTTTCTATCTTGTGATATTCCGGCATTGTTGCTGTCGATGAGGCCTAGTGTCTCTCTTATATGCTCTCTTCTCCGTGTTCGATGCTTACTAGTGTTGATGGCAAGTTGCAGGGGTTTGTTCCTCATCCGAGTAGGTATATATTCTCGGCGGGCGGCTCTGTGTATTCGGGAGGTACCAGACCAGGTGGGTATATGGATACTGAGACTGCACGCTTGAATAATTACACCAAACCCGCGCAAGGGATGCAATTGCGACGAAAAGATAAGCCACACGCGTATTGTATACCCAAACGAAGGCAAGCAGTGATGGGAGATTATGCATCACGCACGGCGCGCCTAGCGCAACACCAAGCTTTGTCACCACAGTGTACGGAGTAGAGACCCGAGACACATAAGACACAAGTGACAACGGCCATTATGGATGGCTGACCAGACGCCACATGTGTACAGATAACTAGTATAGATTGCAGTGTCGTGCGATTAAGCACCCCCCAGCCCCGAGAGGTACAGTGCATGCTCAACACCAGATTCCTTCAAATAGGCTGATAATTGGCCCTGGTCTGCTCCCAGAGGGACCTGTCGCGCCCCCCTTGATCGGCACCCAGTCATGCATGCCCTACTCGCCCCGAAGCAGACTTGCATCATCCGGAGACGAAGTAGCCAAGAGGGACATGAGGTGAGCACCGAAAGGCACTGCAAAGATACCGAAGAACACCCCCACCCCCTTCCCCCCAGCCTACGAACGAGCCACAGCCATCACGACCACAAAATGTTTGCCACAATATCTAAGATCTCCGTCTCGGTTATCAACTCGCAATGCGAGAGGTTCCCACGTTCCGTCGGACCCACAAAAATTCTTCTTGCCTCCTACGTACCATCCCCCGGGCAGCACCCTTTTTTTTTTTTTTCTTTTTCCAATCAATTTTCTTTCTTTCTTTTTTGGTTCCTCTTATTTCTAAACACTAACCCACCCGATGCTCCAAGATCATGTTTCAACCCACACTTAGCATTACTTCAAATCCGGAGACCCGTGCCTGCTATTTGGTGCCCGGGGAAATACCCAAAGATAGGGTTGCGTGGTGACACGCCGGGTTGTACTCTCCGCCGTATGTAAGCACATAATCAGGTGCAGATTACATCATCACAGCCCGGATGGTCTAGTGGTATGATTCTCGCTGTAAGTTCACACTTTACAACATACCACCAGCAAAAGACATCTCTAACTTTCCTAGTCGGGTTATAGCTCCAAATGCGAGAGGTCCCGCGTTCGAATCGCGGTTCGGGCCCTGATATCTTTTTTTTTTCGTTCTATTTCCAGCTACTGAAGTTCAATGAGCTAGTATTGGGTCAGCGGGCTCATCGCGTTCCTCATTTTCCCGATGCCCGCCTCGGGAAGGCTCGGAACCCTCTCCGCGGCTTGCGCGCCCTCGCAGTCGCCGCCGGCCCGCCGAGTGTTTCGGAGACCTCCGGTATAGGCGGATTGTCTGTTTGGAAAAATTTCCACCCCGTTGAACCCGCTACGAGGCAGTATGGGTGTAGTCCGCTGATGCGGTCGGTCGAAATCAGCTTTGCTCATATGGCGGCAGGTAGAATGGATGCACGTTGATGACTGGTAAGCAGATCAGGTGTAAGCATCGTTGCCTTGTCCGCGGCAAACTCATGTACTGAAGTACCTACCGTTGCAGTAGAGGCCTAGATTAGAGGGTTCGACCCAGTGCCCACAGGAAACTGGACAGAGGAGCAAGAAGGGTGGGCAGGTGGGGTCAAGATGGACTCCATCCATCCCTTCGCCCCCAGGCTTATACCACTCTGTCTTCTGCAGCCAGCCCGGACCCAAGCTCTAGGTAAGTTACCTAGTCTATGACTGCAGGGTTGGTGGAAGAGCCGATTTGAGTCCCGATGGCCCAGGCACAATAGCCCTGGGAAAGGCCTGCCGATATTCGGATATAGACCCATATACTCCGTAGTTTAATCTACGTCTGGTTGCCCCAGTGAGCTACTGGATGTAGGCTACGTAGTTCACATCTTTGACAACTTAATTTCGGAAGCCTAAGGATACGTATATCCTCTCCGCTTGGTAACTTACCACCATGCTCTTGTCCACACAGTATGTCAACATGAGGCCGTGTCCGATTGACCTTAGACTCTAGCACAACGGCACTCCAATGTACGGAGTATCCAAAGGCGTATATACCTTAGCTACGGATAGCCAGGCTGACTGCCTGCGGGTGATTTAGGGTACCTAGTAGTCTATCCTTCGCAGAGGAAGTTTTGACCCACAAACAGAGGGGCTTCCATTGGCCAAGCTTCTTGTTATCAGCACGATGGAGCCGCTTGACGCTTGGGCTAGACTGCTTCCGGCGGTAGCGGAGCCCCAGCCCGGCTTGGGTGGCGTGCAGCACCTTATCGTTCCCTCCCAGCCAATCGTTCCCAAGCAATGATGAGCTCAGAGAAACCAACTTTGATAAGACCGTATCTTTATCTTTCCCTTTCCCTCCAGCCAAATTGAGGTTCCACGGAACAGGCTGAGTGGATTCCTCCAAACAAAATGGAAGGAGGCAGACAGGCAGGCAGGCAGGCGAGACCGAAACTGTGAAACTTCCAACCTAGGACAACCTGGGATCGACACTCCTCCGCAAGAGAGTTTTCGTATTATTCGTAATGGTGATAGTCCATCTGGGGGACAGAGGCGAGGAGTATCCGTACGCAACCTTGAAATTGTTTCTTGTTTCTGGTCCGCGGGTACTGTATAGGGACGACTGCTTGGACCGGAACCAATATCATTCATGGGGGAGATCGTGCCGGAGTGCCAAGTCTCAAAAATGCGATGCCTGGAAAACCAGCAGTAAGCGACCTCTACTTACAGCCAGTAGTAAAGTAGGCATTCAGATGCAATCTTATGCTTCAAGCCGACCGCTGTCCGTTTTGTTATCGTCGGGAAGGAGCGATAGGGAAAGCGAGGTCGATAGGATGCATGATACGTAGCTATCTCCCTACCGTAGCTGCCCGGAGGTCCGTAGGCATAAATACAAGTTCATCGAGCCCTGTTGTCCCATTGAGTGTCGGGGAATTTTTTTTCTTCTCGCTAGACCAGCCGGACCACATTGTCAATGCTGGTGGAGAGGCGGACGGTGATGGAGGGCTGATCCATACATGCACTAGGATGAATGGTCAATGTACAGTACTGACAGTACTGACAGTACATACCACCAGTGCACTATATCCTCCACAACAGACAGCTCTCAAGCCACTTGCTTCAGTGACCCCTCGACTGTCCTGATGCATCGGAGGCTCAGGTCTGGGCGGTACTTCTTGTCCGCCAATGGTGAGGCCAATGGAAGCGAGCGGGATGGATGGTATCTCGTAACCTTGATTGTGATACCGAAGTTGAGAGCAGTTGATGCTGATGACGGTCATCCGGGGGCTGACAGGGTAGGGTGATCAGCTTATTTGCTGACCCCAGGATTCCTCCGCTGTCGCGCGACAGTCAGGACGCAGGAAGCATTCCCTGTGCTTCTGATATATGTCTACATAGAATATACTATGTAGAGAGCTGATTTGATTTCAGTAGGATTGGGTAGGGGGTGCCACCGACTAAACCGCATTCTGTAGGCGCATATCGAGCCTTGCCTGGTTTCGGGGTGGTCTGCCCCGTCCCTTCCCGGCTTTTGCCACGAGGGAATAATCGACTCGAGAGAAACATTGGCGGGTGGACTGATTGACGGACAGATAAAGCTGAAGAGAGCCATTGACTTGGCACAGTTGATGAAGAAAGACGGAAGATGGAAGTTGAGAACTGTTCATAACTAACGAATGAGAGTATTCTAGATTGACTGCTCTCCTCATCAATCAATCAATACATGAATGTACCGAGTACAGTTGATGTATGCACCAGTGCTGGCAGTTATCATTGAGGAAAATTGCAAGGGTTCGCCGTTCGGTCGAGGATCGTCGGGCCCGAGTTTATTTTATCCCATTTGATTTTTCAACTCTTTCATTCCCTTCGTTATCGCACGCCCCCAGATTGACCACCTTATTTCGAATTTCAATTTTCAATTTATTATTTGGATTTTTTTTTTACCTTGAAGTTTCTTTTCCCGATAGTCTTTTTATTTTTCCCGTCCAGTCCATCATCATGAGCTTCTTTTCCATTTCATCATCTTCCTCCTCCTCTTCATTCTCATCTCCATTCTCACTTTCCCTCCATCAAGGTTGCCTGAAAGCCTTCCAGCTGCTTATCTCTCGCTTCCCGACTCAGTTCCAGCCAGACAGGGCCGATCGGTTTCATCTGGGCCTGGGAGCATAGCAATTCTTCGGTTCACCGTGAAAAAAACAGCTCCACCTTGACCTTCCGGTGCCCAACGGGGGGGATCGGGATCCATTCTTGCTTCAATTCAGAACAGAACAGAAGAGTTCAAACTTCAGGGAGTCTTTCCCACTCTATAACTATCTACCACTCAATACTCAAGCGTCCTGTGGTTTTGAGTCGACCCACCCCGGTGTCTTTCCAGAAAACTCGTTGCCAGTCAATTACACTTCGTATTTATATCTTGCCCACGCCTCCGCCCCGTGGCGGTTTCTCCTTCTCCACATCCGACGGCGGAGTTCTTCTACTACGCATACTAGATACTACTACCCTCGACTTACTTCATCCATCCTCTTCCTCCTCTTCGCCTCTCAATTCCTCTTTCTCTCCCTCTTTCCACTTTTCTCCCTCCCCCCCTCTCTCCCTCCGCACCATCTCTCCCTCTCCACTGACGTTGATTCCGTCAATCATTCCGATCTCGGGTTGACTACGCCTTCAATCCCGACTCCTCCCTCCCTCCCCTTCCGAACCTTCTTTTGTCACGCTTTTCCTACTCACCCTCTTTCCGTGCTTGAATTCTCCCCAGCTCCCTCCTCGAATCACCCGATACCCTTGGTCATAACAGAAGGAAGAATATCCGGTATCACTCGACAAACTGCCACTGGTTCATCTCGTCACTTCACCCCTCCGCCATCCGCCAGTTCTCAGCGTGAGGACAACTTGGGCGGTGGTGACTCAATTCGCTCTCATCATTCTCGCCATACCACCTCAACTGCCTGCTTTAAAATCTACACTATCCGCCAACTAAACCGTCACAATGCCGGGCAACGTCGGCGTCTACATACCTAAATATGCGTCATACAATTGGACGGGCGCACCCTCCGATTACGAAGCCCTTGCTACCAATGAACTGGGAGGCGATTCTCGTATGTGAACCTATGCGGGCTAGACAGCCTCCCGTTGACCCTCACATCAATGCTTACCCCGGTCATAGGAACGGAGAACCTGAACAAATGGTTCCAATCCGGAGACCAGGCCTTCATCATCGTGTCCGCTGCCATGGTCATGGTCATGATTCCCGGTCTGGCGTTCCTATACTCGGGTCTTGCCCGTCGAAAGTCGGCTCTCAGCATGATCTGGGCCTGTATGGCTTCGTTCTCCGTCGTCACGTTTCAATGGTACTTCTGGGGCTACTCCCTCGCCTTCTCACCCACCGCCACCAACGGATACATCGGCAACTTGCGCAATTTTGGTCTCATGAAGACGCTCGCCGACCCCAGCCCTGGATCTCCTCTCATCCCAAATCTGCTCTATGCCTTCTATCAGGTACACTCCCCCGCCTTGTTCATGGATTTCTCCAGGAGACTGACCCAGTCCTTGGTTTTCAGATGCAATTCTGTGGTGTAACGGCAGCTATCATCATGGGAGCCGTAGCTGAAAGAGGTCGGATGCTACCGGCCATGGTGTTTGTTTTCATTTGGGCCACCATTGTCTACTGCCCATTGGCATGTTGGGCCTGGAATGTGAATGGGTGGGCATACAAGTATGGTGTCTTGGATTATGCGGGTGGCGGCCCCGTTGAGATCGGGTCCGGGTTGTCTGCTTTTGCCTACTCCATGGTCCTCGGTCGCCGTCAGGAACGGATGATGCTCAACTTCCGCCCGCACAACGTGTCGCTTATCCTGCTGGGGACTGTCTTTCTTTGGTTTGGATGGTTGGGATTTAACGGTGGCTCGGCTTTTGGCGCTAACTTGCGTGCCACCATGGCGTGCTGGAATACCAATCTGACTGGAGCGTTCGCGGCCATGACCTGGGTTTTGCTCGATTGGCGTCTTGCACGTAAGTGGTCCATGGTCGGCTGGTGTTCCGGCACTATCTCTGGCCTCGTCGCAGCTACCCCGGCCTCGGGTTATATCCCTCCCTGGGCCAGCGTGATTCTGGGTGTCGTCACTGGCATTGTTTGCAACTACTCCACCAAGGGTAAGTCCGATCATATCCCCACTGCATGAATACACTGATTCTAATAAGTACAGTGAAATACTGGGTTGGAATTGATGACTCCATGGATGTGCTTGCTGAGCACGGTATTGCGGGTATCGTCGGTTTGATTTTCAACGCCTTCTTCGCAGATGATGCGATCGTCGGGCTGGACGGAGTCAACACGGGATCCGGCTCGGGTGGCTGGATTATTCACAACTGGAAGCAACTATACATTCAAATCGCCTACGTCGTCGCCACTTGCTCCTACGCCTTCGTCATGTCTGCCATCATTGCATACGCCATCAACGCCATTCCCGGCCTCAAGCTGCGCGCCTCGGAGGAAGCCGAACTTTTGGGTATGGACGACGATCAACTGGGTGAATTCGCCTACGATTATGTGGAAGTCCGCCGTGACTACTTGGCCTGGACTCCTCAGAAGCACGACCAGCTGGAGGATGGCCACGAGATCCCTGCTGCAGCGCGGTACGGTATTGGCGAGCACAGCGAAATGATGCTAGACGGACACGCCCCGGTTGGCGTTGACAGTCGTGGCTGCAGCGAAGGCGACTCGGGCATCCAGGAGATCAAGATGGCGCCGGCGCCGCGCCAAGTGGCCGAGCACCACCCGGCACATGAGCACGAGCCCGAGCCCATGAGAGAGCCGGTAGCGGCGATTCCCATGCAGGAGAAGATCGACGCCTGATGAGCATTTCGCATATTTGTTATCTGTTTTTCTGTTCTATTATGATATCCAGCGTCGCCTTGCCCCCCGAGCCAGCTTTTGCGGTTGTTCTCCATTTTCTGTGTATTATTTCCGGTGGGGGGATTACTCTTCGGACTATCTTGTTTTTTACCCCTAAACATGGCGTTATGCTGGGTCAGCACACCCGCGGGTTCTGTATACCTCTCTGCTGGGTGCTTTGTATATACTAGCTTCTTTAGCTGGCGGGAGAATTTTCTTCAGAGTGTTCAGGATTGATACCAGCACAAGCATAGATTTGATTAATTTGAGGAAACATATTTAAATTGATGACGGTGCAATTAAATTAGAAAAGCCATTCAAGGTGTTTTTATTAGGAGGTAATTTCAGATCATCACCCACACTAACTCGCTCACACAACAGGCTCAGTTGTCGCCCGGCCAGGCGAGAAGAAAGCTCATGGATCATCGTCTAGCTAATTTGTCACATGCATGGCCAGCCACGGCACGTGGTTCCCATGGCAGAGCTGCAGAGCCGCAACCCACTGTACCATTTTATGTTTGAAGTATGCAGTAGCTGGAAGCAAACAATCTTCTTTGATCAGCGGGCATTGATCATTCCTCGCCCGATAGCCTTGACACGAACCCTCGGAAGTTGATACTATATGCAGTCGATAAGTACATACGACTAATTTCACTCATCTCTAATGTGTACCCTATGTTTATATGTACTGTACATTCATATCATCTACATGCAAGCCCTTTGACGGGGCAAAATGGGGCGGACTGTTCCCTTCCCTCTTATGTACGTTTAGCTAGTCACTCTGTCTGAGTACCCTGCCTCTAAGACTGGATCGGAATGGAAGGGGGTATTAAGCTCGTCGCACCATGGCCCGAACCCTCATTCTCTCCTCCCGACTCAGCTTCTCGACGACTTCCGCCGTCTCCCCGCCGCGCATCACATCCTCCCACTCGTCCTCGTCCATACCCATCACCAGCACCATCTGCAGACAGCGCACGAACGCGTCACGGTGCCGATACCGGCCCTGCGAGCCGCCGACGTCCACCGCCGCGCCGACCACGCCGGAGACGTCGCGCTCGAGCCGCGTCGCCCCGAGCGCGTTGACCCGGCTGTGGTAGCTCCAGAGTCTCTTCTCGAGGAGCCGCGCCAGATACGCCACCGTGACGGTCAGGAGGCGGTCGAAGGCCGAGGCGGTGAGGATGCGGCTGATGGGAAGGAGTAGCTCGTTCCACGCGGTCGCGAAGCGCGGGCGCACCAGCTCCGCGCCCGGGTCGGCTTCCCCGTCGGCGGCCGCCGCGTCGGGGGCGCCGATGATCGGGTCGTCCGAGTCGTAATACTCGTTCATGCTGGGGATTGCCGGGGCGTTGTAGACCGTACTGACCGGGTCGTTGGCGTCCCGGGGCTGGTATTCGATGTCGCGGAAGGCGTCCGACAGGATGGGCCGGAGGCGGTGTTTGATGAGGTTGTTGAAGATGACTTGGATGCCATCGTTGAGGAGGTCTGTGACCTTGGACTCGAATGTGCTGGCGAGGGAGTGTAGGGTTTGAGATGCCAGTTGGGCTTCTATGGGGCTGGGGAACAGGGCCTGGATGGGGTCGGTGGTGGTGGTGGACGAAGGTTCGGATTGGCTGGCAATCTTCTGTTCCGTATGTTTGTGAAGGATGCGCCGGATGTAGTCGACTGCGACGTCGAGGTTGTTGATGAGCACGAGGAAGGGGATGGTGAGCGATTCCGGAGGCTGGGCGCCTTGGACCGCGGCGCGCGGATAGCATTCGTCACGCATCTTCCGCTGGGTCATGCCGATGAAGTCAGAGCCGAGAACGCGCGAAACCGTCGGGACGACGTTGGTGACGACGCTAATCTGCGAGGTTGCAAGGGACTGCTGCAGGACTTTGTTGACAATGTACATGATGTCGTCAACAGCGGAGGTGATGTGTGGTGGGTCGGCCTTCAGCGGCTTATGCGGGTTGAGAGTCAGGCCGGATGGTTGCTCGTCGAGCTGAAAGGCTTTTTCTACGGATCGACGGAAGAAGAAAGTCGTCATAGTATTGAAAGGAGCGGCGAGACGTTCATTGATCTTTCTAGCAAGGGAGGATTCGCGAAGAAACTCGGGAAGGGCGAACTGGTTGGTGGAATCATTCTCCCCGGGAGGCTGGCAATCAGTCAGTATCAGGTTACAGTTTGGGGAAATCAGCAAGGCAAACTACATTACAGGTGTCTGCTAGGAAGCGGCAGTATAATGACCAGCGTCCTAGCATAATGGCCATCTCGTTGAGGAGCCCGTCGATCTCCTTCATGTCGACGCCCTCATCCTCGGTGGCTCCGTCGCGGGTGGCAGGTGAAATGGATCGAGGCGTGCCACCGCCGCGCTGGGGCGGCAAGAAGCTCTGCACGAGAAAAGTAAAGGCATAGGATTTGATGTCAGTTAGCTTGCGATCTACGTGGCGCTCATCGCTCCAAGTGTCAAGGATGATGCCACCCTGAACATCAGCCTCAAGCTGGAGGCGCTCGATGACGCGGTTCATCTTGCGCGGGCCATAATGACGCTCGACGAGGCTGCCGTGGCCGTCAATAATCTGGGCGATATGTTCGAACAGCTTGGTGAGTGCGCTGGCATAGAAGAAGCCGTCTTTGGCCTGGCCGCCGGAGGCATTAAGATTGGATCGAGCGCGAGCGGCAACACCCTGACAGACGTAGCGGCCGTAGACGTCGAGACCGACCTCGGAGCGGCCAATTAGGGGAAAGAGCTTGAAAAAGCGAGTGATGCGGGCACCATTGTTCTCCTGGACGGCCTTGTCGAATTCACGCAGGAAGAGACCGCAAAGTGACTCGGCGGCGTTGTCGAGGGTGACATGAGGCGGGTCAGGCACCTCCGCGGTGGGCACCATTTCCGCCGCGAAGGCCCCGTGGATCACCTCCGGGGGGATCTTGGCTGCGCGGTGCAGGTAGCTCGCCGCAGTCTCCCAATCCTGCGGGGCCCCCATCGAGCCAGCCACTCCCAGCACACATGCCTTTAGCTCAGCAACCTGATCTACCACAGCGAGGGTAGCCTTCACACGAGATTGTTCGCGGTCCAGACGACGAACCGCGCTGGAAATCCGATCGGCGGTAGTGGCCGCATCGGCGAGCATGCCATGGCTGATGGCACGCGTGGTACTAGTTTGTGAGCCCAGGTTCGCACGAAGCAGGTCTAACCGTCCAAGTTCGCGCGAGAAGTCCTTCTGAGAAGCTACAAGAGCATCTAGGCGGGCAGTCACTGAAGCTTCCTGCTCATGTAGGTGAGACAGCGTGGCCTTGATCTCGGCGACGGAGCTGGCGTTGAAGACGGTAGTGAGGGTGTTGGTTGGGCTGAGTCCGGCGTCAGAGTGGCCATTGACCTTGCCAAGGGGAGGTTTGGCCATTGCCGATAAGAAAAGCGAGCAGCTCTGGGCTGCGACAGCAGTCAAAGTGTTATTCCGAAGGATGGAAAGGAAAGGAGGCCATCGAAGCCATTCCGAAACAACATGGCATAATTACCGAAGGCGGTCAGCGAGCGGGGCTTGCTGCCTCAGGTGTGAATTACAGCACATTGATAAACTGTAGTAAACATAATTCTGCTTATTCAAGAGACGGAAAAGCTAAATCGCGAAGTCTCAAGTGAAGGTAGATAGCTTCTTTGATACAAGCCTGACTCGTTATCAAATAGTGATCAGGCTGGTGAGTGTAGCTGTTTATACCGAGTAGCAGATGGTTGACACCTGAGGCGGAAGAGCAGCTAATGTTGATGATGGGCTTTTCTTTTTTTGGAAATTGACCGTTTTTCATCTCGACGTCATTTCGGAATTTCTTCCCATTGCATTGCACGCCACTTTCGGCTATTTCTTTCGTGTCTCGAGGGGATCACGCTCTTCCCGACGCGCCATAACTATAACTGCGCACGAATTATCACTTAATTACTATTCCATCAAGTACGGCCTTGAATTGGCCGTGTTGTTCGCATCATGGGCAACGAATCCTCCACTGACGTGGACGAGAAGGCCCCCCCATCCGTGCTGGAGAAGCGCACTATCGAGGCAGTCGCCAAGTATATCCTTGAGAAAGATGTGCGACGCATTGTGGTTATGGTAAGACATCTCCGGACCTCAAAACAGAGTAGTTGCTGACAAGAAGATACCCGGCAAACAGGTGGGTGCAGGCATCAGCACCTCGGCCGGCATTCCCGATTTCCGCTCCCCTGACACGGGCATCTATTCCAACCTGGCCTACCTAGATCTGCCCGATCCCGAAGCCGTATTCGACATCAGTTTCTTCCGCGAGAACCCCAAGCCCTTCTACACCTTGGCCCGCGAGCTCGCTCCGGGCCGATACCGACCCACGATCGCACACTCGTTCATCAAACTGCTCTACGACAAGGGGCGCCTTCTAAAACATTTCTCGCAGAACATCGACTGCCTTGAGCGTCTGGCAGGGGTGCCGGGGGAGATGATCGTTGAGGCCCACGGGAGCTTTGCAACCCAGCGGTGTATCGACTGCAAGGCGGACTACCCAGAGGACCAGATGAAGGCAGCCATTGCTAAGGGAGAGGTGCCTAACTGTCCAGAGTGCAACGGGCTTGTGAAGCCGGATATTGTTTTCTTTGGGGAAGCGCTACCGTCGGACTTCTTTAACAGCAGCGATTTGCCCGAACAGGCCGATCTCTGTATTGTCATGGGCACCAGTCTGACGGTGCAACCGTTTGCTAGCTTGCCCGGGTTCTGTCGCGATGGGATACCGCGGGTGCTGATCAACATGGAGCGGGTCGGAGGACTGGGGTCGCGCCCAGACGACGTCCTGGTACTGGGGGATTGCGATACCGGGGTGCGTCGATTCGCTCGCGCTCTGGGTTGGGAGGAGGAGTTGGAGGCGCTGTGGGAAGCCACCAAATTGCCGGAGGAATCCGGCGCACAGACGGTGGAGGATACACCGCCTCGGACACGCGAAGAGCAGTTACAGGAGGAAGTCGAGCGTCTCACGGAAGAGGTCAATCGCACGCTGGGTATCTCCCAGGCCTACGAACAACGTGTCCGCCAACAATTAGGGGGAGCCGTCGCGGGGAAAGCGGATCGCGCAGATCGAATTGACCCGGCGAATAACAGCCGCAGCTCGCATGCGGGGGAGACAAGCACTGAAGGGCTGGCCCATGTCTTTCCCCATCTGACACGGGCCACAAAAGAAGATGATAGATCGGAAAGTTTCTAACCAAGACGTTAGGTTATGGCTTATTGGCTTTTGACGAAGACGGGACGGGGATGGGCATGAGAGGGTGAAAGATTGGTTTAGGTGGCTGGTCGACCATTCCGCCCGGATTCGGGCGTCTTGACCGCGGAGGGGGGTTTTGCTGATGAATTCTAATGACCCTGATGAGTAGACGATCGATAAAACAAAGACAGACTAAGACAAGAATTATCTTCGCATACAGTAATGATAGGACAGGAATCCAAATGCATTAGGAGAGTAGTCAATTCCCAGCCCTAAAAACAATCCCCTCCTCCCTCTTCCCTCCCCACCTCCACCATCTGAGCATTCTTGAACTCCGCAGAAGGGAAGTGGGAACAGTCGGATCCCCCTGGCGCCATTGCCCACTCGAGACTCCATATAAAGACCGATCATGTTTCAAGGATTACTCAAGTATAATAATTGAGGAAGATTATTGACTCATTGACTAGACATCGTATTTATTTTGACCCGCCGCGACCCAAGCCAGTCACCGGTGAGGAGGACCCGCGCCGAGTGGCCAGTTGCCCCCGATAATATTCCCCGCCAAACCCGACCTTTTGCCCCACGTCGTCATCGCTGTCTTTCTTTCTCTTGTCTCACTCTTCCTCTGCTTCTCCCTCTTAACACACTCCCTCACTCCCTTCTCCCTTCCATAATACCTCTCTTCTTCAGTTGCTGTTCATCCCCCATCCCCCATCCCTTTCGTTGTGATTTTTCTAATACCCCTCTCATCATCACTATTCACAATGGTTGGACTCGGTCCCAAGCGCCCCCCTTCCCGCAAGGGTACGCCTCCTTCTCTTCCATTCCCTCCTCGGGATGCCGAATTCCAATTGACCCGACCATAGGATCCATGGCCGATGTGCCCCAAAACCTCCTGCAGCAGATTAAGGAGTTTGAGGATATGTTCACCGTTGACCGGGCCACACTCAAGAAGGTTGTCGACCACTTTGTGAAGGAATTGGAGAAGGGTACGTCATAAAGCTTCTTCCCTCCCCTTGAACAACCCTTGAACAACAACGAAATCACAATCACGAAAATCCGACATTTTCCATACCTAGATCAATTCCCAACCCATTCACACAATTCCCAATGATTTCTTGCAGCTGACTAGGTCTGATTTGAGCGTGAACAGGTCTTAGTGTCGAGGGTGGTAACATTGTGAGTATGGCCTGACAGGGCAATTAGCTCCGCCATCGAGAAGGATCGGATCGACTAACTGGCTGGCTTCACCTCAGCCCATGAATGTCACCTGGGTCATGGGATTCCCCGATGGTGATGAACAGGGAACTTTCCTCGCCTTGGATATGGGTGGTACCAACTTGCGTGTCTGTGAGATCACCTTGACCAAGGAGAAGGGTGGCTTCGACATCACTCAGTCCAAGTACCGGATGCCCGAGGAGCTCAGAACCGGCACTGCTGAGGAGCTGTGGGAGTACATCGCCGACTGTCTGCAGCAGTTCATTGAATCTCACCACGAGGGCGAGGAGCTCTCTAAGCTTCCCTTGGGTTTCACCTTCTCCTATCCCGCCACCCAGGATTACATCGACCACGGTGTCCTGCAGCGTTGGACTAAGGGCTTTGATATTGATGGAGTGGAGGGCCACGACGTCGTTCCTCCTCTGGAGAAGATTCTCAAGGACAAGGTGGGTCTCTTCCATGCGTATTTTGGGTTGAGGCGTGCTAATGTGATACTCTCGCGACCTACAGGGCCTGCCTATCAAGGTTGCTGCCTTGATCAACGATACTACCGGAACCCTCATCGCGTCTGCGTACACCGACCCTGCTATGAAGATTGGCTGCATCTTCGGCACTGGTGTTAACGCCGCCTACATGGAGAATGCGGGCTCTATCCCCAAGCTTGGCCACATGAACCTGCCCGCCGATATGCCCGTCGCCATCAACTGCGAGTATGGCGCATTCGACAACGAGCACATTGTGCTCCCCCTCACCAAGTATGATCACATCATCGACCGGGACTCTCCCCGTCCCGGCCAGCAGGCTTTCGAGAAGATGACCGCCGGTCTTTACTTGGGTGAGATCTTCCGTCTCGCCCTGGTTGACCTGCTGGAGACCCACCCGGGTCTCATCTTCAACGGCCAAAACACCTCGGAGCTGCGCAAGCCCTACCTCCTGGACTCGTCCTTCTTGGCCGCCATTGAGGAGGATCCGTATGAGAACCTCCAGGAGACGGAGGAGCTCCTGGAGCGCAAGCTCAAGATCAAGGCGACGCAGCCCGAGCTGGAGATGATCCGCCGCCTTGCGGAGCTTATCGGTACCCGTGCGGCTCGCCTTTCGGCCTGCGGTGTTGCTGCCATCTGCAAGAAGAAGAACATCGAGTCGTGCCACGTGGGTGCCGATGGTTCCGTGTTCACCAAGTACCCCCACTTCAAGGCCCGTGGTGCTCAGGCGCTGCGGGAAATCCTTGACTGGGCTCCCGAGGAGCAGGACAAGGTCTGCATCCAGGCTGCCGAGGATGGTTCTGGTGTAGGTGCCGCCCTCATTGCTGCCTTGACTCTGAAGCGTGTCAAGGCTGGCAATGTGGTGGGTATCCGCGATGCGAACGACATGAAGACTCTCCTATAAACATGTGAAGTGGGGTAAGAGGTAATCTTTTTGAGAATTTCCAGCGTGGTGTTTTTTTTTTGGGCGCGGGGGGGAATGGATGACTCCAGCGACATAGAACAGAAGAAAGAGACAGTACAGTACATACATTGGCGATGAGTGGCCGAAACTTGGTTAAGACAGGTTGGTATACAGGATCACGCAAGTATTTGAAATTGTCGATAGACGGTAACCAAATCTATCCATTGAATTTGACGATTGTCAATATACACCACGCCCATACATGCTAAGTAGAAACATACCTGCCTGCCATGGTTCAATTTGTGTCGATCGGGACCATCAGAGGGGGAATGTTGGATGATCCCTTTAAGTGAGATGAGTATTTGTTGGCTGCCGCGGACGCGGAAGTGGCTGAAGAGAGGGAGGGAAAAGGGAACTTGATGGCTAACATTCCGAGCACGCGGTGGAATGTCTTGTCTTGAGATGCTGCACAGTGTACTGTACCAACAATACCAACAATAGTCGATGAGCTTGTTTTCTCCCCCTCTCATTTCTCCAATCACTCAAAAATCCTCCTGCCCCTCTACACATGGTACCGGTCAGTACTCAAGGCGAAGACAGGCAACTCAATGGGGTAGATAAGTGGCAGGGGTGGGTGATCCATACATCCATCATCCCTTGCCCTACTTGAATTTCCCCGGGCCTCCTGAGTAACCCTGAATGCCCTTCTAGATCTCCGTCTCCTCGGGTGTCCCGTGCTACTGGGTAAGTGGAGATGAGATGGATACCAACGTAAACCCTGCCATCCCTCGAATGTGTTCCTCATCCTGGCATGTAACAGACCCCTCCCGTGAAACATAGCAATGAAGCCCTAAAATAAATACACGCTTCTTGCTCTAAAGTCCCCTGTGCACTTTCACGTTCCTTCTTTTGTCTTTTCTTTTTGTTCGATTACGTTATTCCGACCTTATTACACTTCTTTCATTCTTTCGTTCTTTCATTCCCAAAGAGTTCTCTCATCTCTCCAACTCACCATGAGATTCTCCCTCGCCCTCCTCGCCACTGCGGCCCTGACAGCTACGGGGGCGCTCGCCCTCCCCCACGGCAACACCGAGATGACAAACAAGCAGCCCATGAGCATGAGCACGATGGAGGACAGCCCCACGCAGACTCCCTCGTCGTCACCTTCCTCCAAGCCCAGCAGCAGCAGTTCCGGCAGTACCCCCCAGCCGAGTAAGACGGCCGCTACCCAGGGTGTACGTTTTCTCTTCCCCCCATCCTCTTTCCTTGACAAAATCGCTACAACCGTGCAGCGAAAATAACTAACGAGACATCACAGGAAACCGACGAAGATTTCGTAAGGAGACTCTCCCATACATCCTCTGCCCTATCTCCCCCCCTCCTCAAGTTGAACCCTGCAACACGTACCTCACTTACTACCACCACCACCCTCCTCCGCATTCATGTGAAACCTGGAAGCTAACCATGACTCTTTTCACTTATTTGGGAAAAACAGCTCTCGGGTCTATTGGGCAATGTAAGCCTCTATTCTTTCTCTCTTTTTTTCTCTATTTGCGGGTTTGGGAAAGCTCGAAAGGCTGACGTGATGACTTTGTGCTTGTTATGATATATATAGCTTGGTCTGGGTGGTCTGGTGAGTTTTCCTTCCCCTTGTAAATGACAAGCTAGGCTTGGTCCTTTGTTGATCTACACTGGTGTTTGAGAAAAAAAATCATTGTACTGATTCTGGTCGTTCACCTGTCTTTCTAGCTTGGTTAGGGCTTGTGAATTGCGGGTTACGAATGGGCCTTGGGCTGTTGGGTTGTGGGGAGGTCAATGGAGGGGAGATAGGTCTGAGAGAGATGGTGAAAGGAAGGGCATTAGCGGCAAAGGGAATGGAACGAAGGGCGGGAGGGGATACCCTTTTGGATTTGGATGGGGGGGGGCAAAGGCAAGGGGACGGACTGCTTTCGTTATATTTTCCGTGGGAAATCTTCAGTATCTAATTCCAAACATTATATCCGAATCGATGAAATTACCAGAAGTGAGTCTTGCTTTTCAGAGTAGCTTAGCTTTGGGTAAGCGTAGGATGAGAAAAAAGCCCGGCTGCTGCTTGATATGAGATACGAAAGCCAACGTCAATGCAGAGTGTGAAATGTGATTACTTTTGTATGCCACTGATCCAAGCCGTAATACGCGTCTATATAATACTATCGAGTAGATGCACGACCTCTCTCATCCGCGAATCTCCCACAGACGGATCCGACCTTGCTCGTTACCCACAGCCAATTGCTCCGAGTTGGGCGAGATGGCCACGGCGGAGATACGGCCAAAGGGGGTGTTGGAGGTCGGCCAGTTGCGGTAGACCGTGCAACTGGGGAGGTGGACTGGATTAGAAGTTAGGATATGTTAAAGATCGAGAGACATGGGGAGCAAACATACCGACTCTCAATGCATCGCGCTTCCAGCGACTCGCCATCACGAAGAACTGTCCATCCGGCGCAAAGACCAAGTGGCTGATGGGCGTGGTGAGCTGGTCCAGCACGCGTACCGGTTCGGGGCTCCGAGGGATGAAAGTCTGACTGGTCTCCTCCGTGTTCGAGGCAGCAGCAGTAGCATA